GGGGGGGGGGGGGGGGGGGGGGGGGGGGGGGGGGGGAAGGGAAGGGGTGGCAACAGAGAGTTTCAAATAAACTTTTCTACAGTAAAATAACTGTCACCTAGATCCCCAGAGGAAGGGGACGAAAGATCCCTCGAATCCCCCTCCCCCCTCTGTGTTCGCCAATGGATGAGTATGAATCGTTTGTGCGCGTTTTGGGCCATTTATACCCGATCAAAACAAGTGCATTTTGGAGATTTCATTGCTTCCAGAAATATCAGAATTATCAGGGCACTCGGTGTAAAAAACTTCCTCCATTCGATCCGTATAATATTTGCCCTCCGTATAATTTGCGAATCGCGTGAATACACTTCATATACAGTACAAACTTCCTAAATTTTCGAAAAAAATGTACACGAGGACCGCTGGATAATAATATGCATATGGAATTTTCAGCAAAGCCACACCAAGTTCCTGTTATCCTGGGCTATTTGCTTTCAGTTATCACAATGTATCAGTATATTATCCATTCAGTGCGTATAATCCATTCGATCTCTTTCCCATTCTTTCCTATTATAACTTTCTATTACCAGTCAAAGCATCTTCTTCAGAGTATTTCAGATATGAATCAATGGTGAATTTGTAGCAAAAGTTTCAAGTACCGTATCAAAATACCGTAGTGTTTTGCTAATGCCGGATATGGTACCAAGTAACAGATACGGTACCAAGTTGTAATGCTTACAGATACGGTGTCTGATGGCTAATGGAAGATACGGTACCAAGTAGTAATGCTGTTTTCTTGCTACAAAACGAAGGATTCACTTCCGCTCTACTCCATTCGTTCATTCGTTTCGATGGTAAATTGGTACAGGCACTTGTTAAAACTGTTTTTGAAAGAGGGAGCCATCGATAGTCTGTCAGCGGGTCGGTTGCTTTGCTACTATTCGAATTACTTCCAAGTAAATCCGTCTCTTACAGAAATAGGTCTGTTTTGGTTTTGAGTTGAACCTGCAACATGTACTTACTGAATGAGCTTGTGCCTTTATTTAATCGAAACATTCCCCTCCAGTCATTTATTTCCTGACCTTTTCTATTTTACTAAGCTGGGGTTTATGAAGTTGAGAAATTCGAGATCTCAAATTTGGATTATTAAACTTGAGTTATTCAGAAGTAAGAGATTGTTATGTAAATTTCTTACACGTCATTCTCCCTCCGATTGTTATTTTTTTTAAATAGAAACAGATAGGAGTATTGTTAGAAATGATGATATTATAAATACTGGAATAGAAAAGATTGGATTAAGTGTTATGTGTAAGAAGACATGTTTCGATGCAGTCTGTGTTTCATCCCTTAGCTGTAACAGCATTGTAAAATAAGCCTTAATAAGAAAATTACAAAAGGAATAAAAATGATAAATTAAAAATTACATAAACAAAGTCGGCTTATTTATTCAATATGATTTTTAGTGTAAAATTCGCCTATTTGTTATTCCTCGCTACTATTTATTTAAAAATCGCTATTTGTTATTCCTCGCTAATATTTATTTAAAAATCGCTTTTTGTTAGCTTGCCCTGTACCAGTGGATAAGGCGAGCAACAGGTGATTCAATTAATTCACTTAATGGCTATTGATTTTGCTGTCGGTTGTCGAATTTCAGGATGGGGTGGCATAGAGTGCGTCTGGATTGTTGGTATAAGCTAGAATTAAGCACAGGGGTCGAGAGCAATGCTTGGAGAAGTGCAGCGTCAGTGGCAGCAAAAGCAGTGGGGGAATTGCCTGAGGCAGTTTGCAGGTTTCCCCATTCTCTTATTCTTTTTGTCTTTGGCATGGCTGGCCAGCTCACCGAAGGGCAGTAGTAGCAGCAAATCCACCACTTTCGACTGTGATCTTTTGAAGATACAACACAATGGGCAATACGGGTAGCTCAATCACCGACCTAAGTCTGTTCTCGAAAGGTGGTGTTTTTACACGTGATCAAATTGATGAATATCAGGCAAGTATTGCTTACGGAACTTATTAAATTTCTTTGATTTTTTTCCGGTATTTTTACCAGGAATATTAAGATCGCCTGGGCAATCACAGTGGGTATACAGTAACTTGTCCTTATTACGTTACTAGGATTGTGTA